TAGATTGGCGGCATTTAGGATCTTACCGTTAGCGTCTTTAGCGGCCGCGTTAGCGCTAGCGGCGTTCTAGTTCTCGCGTACTAGAACTTCGCGTAGCGCGCCTTCTCGTAGGCGTTAAGGCTAGGGATTGTCGTAAGCTAGCTACTTGCCGTTTCGCTAGTTTTAGGAGGATAGTCCCGCGCTAGTATTGCGTATACGCTAGCGGTCCGCGACTAGACGCCTAGCCTCTGTACCTAGGAAAGCGTCGACTAACCTATTATAGCGCTATGTCTACTATCGAGAAGGTAGGTCTCGCTCGATACTAGGCTCTACGTATGCTAAGTCCGTGCGCTAGAATTCTAGGTCTATATTTTAGGACATGTCGGCTGTGTCTTTAGTAGAAGCGGGTAGGATTAACGGCTCTTATTATCGGGGTCCTTGCTACTATATCTCGGGACCTCGATGCTAAAGCTTAGGACCTAATAGAGAGGACTCTTAGTAAGGCTTAGTACCTAATAAAAGGGACTCTAGACTGCTCGTAGCCGGAAGCTCCTACTGCTCGGGCTTAGGGCTCTATCGCTCCGGAGCTTGCTAATTAGGACTCTGCTGCTCCGTATCCTAGTACTCGGGCTTAGGACCGTGTTGCTTAGGACCCTACTGTTTAGGACTCTGCTGCTTAGGGCCGACTAAAACCGGCGAGGACAGATTAGGACTGCTCGGGACCGACAGCTCTAAGATACTAAGTCCTCGCAGGCCTAGGGGGAATACAATCGGTAAGGACCTGTAACGTATATACGTAACTCGCCGTATACTAGCTGCTAAAATGGTCCGACGGCGACGTAGCTATAGGCTAGTGTCCGGACTTAGACTTGTAGGCACTACTATATCTAGTAAGGGTAGTGCTAGTTCCGGAGTAGGAGCCGCCGAGTCGTTAGGTCCTATCGTATCTAAAACTGCAAGTTCGTTACGGAGAGTAAGTAGCGTCTTCGCTGCTGCCGTAACTAAAGAGCGGTTAACTACCTAATCCTAAGGGAAACCGAGGGTAGTACCGCCTCTAGTATCCGAGAGTTTTCGTAGTATATATTCTTCTAGGGGCTAATAATACGTAGTAATTTTCGTAACGATTGCTATAAGCGGGTCTCTTTGCTTCTAGTATACTAACTTAGCGTAACCGGCGTTAGCTAAGAACTCCTTAAAGCAAAAAGCGATGTTTAACGAGTAGGCGTCCAAATCGGGGCGTACGGAAGCTAGCGTATTTATAGAATAAGCGTAGGCTCGGTAATCTTATAAAAATGTAGGATAAGTATAGAGTTAAGGAACTAAACCAAAGTCGGGAAACTATTAGGGTGCTTATAGGCTCTTGCCTCGACCGGTGCCCGCTTCGGCAGGTGCTAGTATAGAGTAAACAAACCTAGATAAGGAAGGCGGGCCGCCTAGTCTAGCGATTAGAGGGCTATAGGGCGCCGTCGATTAGAGGGCTATCGGTATATAGTTGTATATATACGGAAGATAATATACGGAATTTAGAGGACTGTCGTAATCGTATCTATATCGAGCGTAGGTAGTTGTTATAGTTAGGTAGGTAGGTCGGTGCCGCTAGTATAGGACCTCGCGGTCGCGTTTTTTAGTTTTTTAAGGTACCCGTTCGTCTAGTACTCGGGTACTATTTAAACGGATCTAGATCTAACTAAAGCGAAGCTACTAATTGTTACGCGAGGGACGATTAGTAGGTTAGCTATAGTATAGTATTAGGGTGAGTATCTACGGTTCTACGGAAGTATATATAGGCCCGGCGTTCCGTACCTACCGTAACAACTATAATCTACCTAACCTACTATACCTAATAGAATGCCCCCTTATAGTAGCTAGGGTATCTGCCTTTTTCTACTCTTTTAAATTAGCTATCGTACGTATATAGGCGTCTTCTAGTTCTATTACTATACTATAATAAAGATAGTATACTAAATTTCGAAAAGGTTAAACTAGGCTATACGTTATATAGGGCTATATAGTAGATAGGGAAGCCTTCTATACTAGGATAGACCTACTTTTAATAGACTTCTATCCTTGTGCTATAGTACCTAATACGACGCGCTATATATAGCTTTCTAGTATTTCTCCTCCTCTAGATACCTAGTAGTATAGTCGCTATATGCTATATACTAGACTAGACTTGTAGCCTCTAGGTATTTCTTAGGAGGTAAACCTTCTATATGCCTCGATAACGATATAAAGGTATCCTTCGTAGAGTGGGGATATGGAGCCAGGGCTAGCCTAGGTCGTTGTATGCCAGGGCTAACTGCCACCTGGCAGAATCTTACCTAGGATTCGATGCTCGGCCAATGCACTGCCGCACACAGCGTGTCTTATTAAACATAGGAATATCTGCTTCCCCCTGCGCGCTCCTGGATCTTTGAATCTAGCCTCTCTGTAAACAGGCATGCGCTACCGGGTACTAATCTGATTTGTTCTCGATCTCCACGCTGGACTAACAGGCACCTAGAGCAACTTGAGGAGCTTGGGTCTGTCGCTCCGCTCGAATGAATTGTTCACCTCTTTCCCTGTTGATTCATGATGGCTAAGCTATAGAAGTTGCAACTGAACACCCGTGAACACCTCAGACTGCGATAAGCGATAGAGACAGAATTATCGATTCCTTGCGCCTGGATAACTCCCATTTTCATTTCGCTGTGAGACGACAATCTTACATCTTAGTCATCGTCAAGTTCGCTTGGGAAAATGTCATCGAGTTGCGCCGGCTGAGCCCTTCTCTCGGTGTCGTTGTTCCTGGTGTCACCTGGCCATTTGCTCGTCCGTAGTGTGGGAACAGAGAGTCAGTAGAGTCGGTCCGCTTCATGAACTGTGCCGTTTCCGCCGACAATTCTGGTGACATGTGATTTCTTGTAGCTCCGGCACTGTTTCTGATATGTGCAACCCAGTCGACCTTGGGAAAGCGAATGTTGAGCTTTCGCGTCTGCTTCTCTTCTTCGCCCTGGTATTCGCAACGAAGTGCCGCGCATTCCTCTCTCTCAATGCCATGCCTGTTCTTCCTTCGTCTCGATGCTACGCCACAGTAGCAGTGCGAGTTCTTCGGATCGACTCCTTCCTGGTCGTCACCGATGTGGGCAGGGCCTCGTCGCGGCAGTCGATTGATACAGCTGTCATTGCCGCAGATGAATGCTCCATCGCGGAGGAGGATATCTGGCAATTGACAGCTGGTGCAGACAACGAGACCTCCATTCTGTACAGAGGCGATCGAGGCTGGTATCTCTAAGTTGGCGACGTCTTTCCAGCGGGTGACTGTCGTTGTAAGCGATTCGTCTGCAGTGGGCTGAACGTTGCATGCACTCACTCTTCTCCTCACTAGGTCTTCGCTCCTTCTCGGCCATGTTGACCTGCTCGCTCTTCGCTATGACACTCCCTGAGGGCATCAACATCACACCGTGGGCAAATTCCCGGGCCGAGATAATGGAGAAGCACGCAACTTAGGACTCAAGTCACTCACAAAACGCGTTGACAAGAGGTAGTCACTCCCACTTGCTAGTCTGTTCTGAAGCGCCTTCTTCGTTCTGATGGTCGTGCGTACCTACAATGTAGGAGCTCGAGGCTCCATGTATAGTCTCATGTCTGAGGACCTGAATTATTTCTTTGGTAACCTTTCTGGATTTGTCCTCATTTTCCGAGAGAGCGCAAGCTTTGTAGCGAAAAGCGAGGAGCGACTTAGAAAAGGTAATCGGGACCTGCGCAAGTGGACAACACTTTACTTTATCACGTAAGCTGGACCGAGACTTGCTGTCAACGCTTGTGAGGAGTCGGCGTTCGTGTCTAGTCAATAGTTCTTGCATTACGACAGAAATCTCCGCACCAATTAATACTGCGCCGGCCTGTATAGAGCTGCCCTCATCACGGCTTTGTCGTTACTAGCTACGAACATGATAAGCACGAACAAAGGCTTATCAAATGTCGTCGCTCGCGTCAGCTCGGCTGGCTGCACTACTCTCGAGAATTCGGCGTCAGGTATTTGGTGCCAGCTGCGAGTTCCGAAAAGCTGGTACAACCCCATCTTCAGTTCCGCTAGACGAGTTCGTGCCCCAGGACTGGCCTTGGAACGTTCCGTGGAAGCGACGGACAGTAATGCGGAGATGGTCTCGTCAGAGGTTGCGGAGGACCATGCGATCAGTAAGTTCTTTCATGACCCGTGACTTGTGAAAGCAGCGACTACGAGGTCTTATTGAGATCCACAGCAGCATCCATGCAGCATAGCACACTGAGACGTTACCCACGCCTTCTCACACACTGTAGCAGGATTTTGAACTGGTCTAAGCCAGTCAACATCTATGAGTGATCTGCATTAGTTTAAGTAGTCATAATCAGGCTGGAAGTCCTTACAAGCTGCACAAAAGCAGATTATCTGACCGACATCAGACGGCGAGGAGAATTGAACCCGAAGTCCATATCGCGGTCAGCGTGACCGTCTTGGGACACTTGATCCCAGAGAGGCAGATTTCTAGTTATGCCACGTTACAGTAAGGGGCCATCGGCCGTCACGAATTTCGGCAGTGTGATGAGGTCTGTCGCCGTTCCGATCTTCGTCGCTGCTGTCTCTTGTTGTCGAAGGATACATATACCGCCCGCAGCAGATGATGTCTTCACTCGGTCTTGAGGGTCTTGAGTCCATGACTAATGCACGCCCGGCACGTGATTTGTGTTTTCGATTTGCACTAGTCTCCATCATTGCACGACCTTTGATATTCTCATATCACATCGTCGCTAAGAGCACGGCCATCAATACTCGTAGACTTCACTCACTAGCTGCCCGACTACCGAAATGATAAAAATTAAGATGGCTATGCGATAAGCAAGCACGCGATGGATCAGTATCAATATCACAAACTTCGCAGCAGATGGTATTACGCCTAGAGTCGAGTAGATAGACTACAGACGCCCACGATGACGGATCCCTCGCGGCGGCGGCGGCGCTCTGCAGCGTCCACAACGGAAACACAACCTCTTCTCCGGAATCGCAAGCAGGAAGAACCCCAAAATTCATTCGGCACAGCGATACTTGAACGCATCGCACGCTTCTGGGGGCCGGCCGGAGTCGAGAGATCACTACTTATAAAGCTAGACTTCACTCTCCTGTTGTACTTCTCCATAATCTGGTTCCTATTCGGGATCAATCGATCCAGCTACAGCACGGCATACATATCTGGGATGAAAGAAGATCTTGGGTTTCAGGTATGGTTCAAACCACAAATTTTTGTGATCGCTACTGACGAGAAAGTGTAGGGCAAGGATTATAACTACATGTCGACGATTTATTTGGTGACATATGCTCTCTTTCAGATCCCATCGACGTCTCTGCTCACGGTCGTGAAGCCGAGATACGTATTTGTCTTGGCTAATACAGTCTGGAGTGTGTTGACGCTCGTTACATATCGCGTAGACCATGTGTGGCAGGTCTTTGTGTTGAATGCTTTTGAAGGTGCCTTCTCGGCGATAGCATTGTACGTGTCACACACACACACGAAGTTTTGGCATCGAGCTTTGCTGATTCCTGCTTGCAATAATGACAGTGTCGGCGCTCACTTCGTCTATGGAAGCTGGTACAAGCAATCAGAGCTCGCAACGCGTGCTGCAGTATTCTGCGCTTTCGGTAACTTAGGCAACATGGCCGGTGGCTGGATCCAGGCTGGATTGTTGAAATCACTGGAGGGAAGCTCTTCTTCGCTTCCAGCGTGGAGGCTGATTTTCATCGTGGTTGCGGGCATGACTATACCGTTCGCGGTGTTTGGTACGTGGCGTCGTTTGATCAAAGATTTCGTACTGACATGCTGTGAAGGATGGTTCGCGATCCCGGACTTGCCAGAACATAGAGCCGCGCGCTTCCTGAGAACAAATGAGAAGGATATTGCTGCCACGAGACTGGGCAAAGCAGAAGAGACATCCTGGGACTGGTCTGTACTTTGTCGAGTGCTTCTCAGTTGGCAATTCTATCTACTCCCGCTGGTATTCATGCGTAAGTCTAGGCATACTGGAATACTGTTATGATGCGCATGGCTGACCACCCTTAGTCTATTCTCTTGTTGTGCAAGCTCTGGGTAACAACGTCATGCCTCTTTGGATGGCCTCGCGAGGCTATAGCGTCGTACAGCAGAACAACTATCCCACTCTCGTTCACGGAACCGGGATCGTCGCCACATTCTTCTACTGCCATGTCTCCGACAAGCTTCGCTCTCGATGGCAATGTTCACTGGCCATAGGCTTCACCTTCATCATAAGCAGTGCAATTCTGGTGTCATCACCAAAAAGCGACGGAGCTTACTTCTTCGCATTCTACTTAATGGGGACAACATACGCGCCACAGGCTCTATGGTACTCTTGGATGGCGGATCTCACAGCACACGATCTCCAACTCAGAGCTATCACGACAGGCTTCATGAACAGTTTCGATTTCGCTTTCGTGACTTGGTGGCCACTTATCTTCTACCCGGTCACTGATGCACCAAACTATCGCAAAGGATATATCGCAAGCTTGGTGACTGGATGTCTGACAATTCCCGTGATCACTTTGATTGCAACATTGGAACGGAAAGGAAAGCAGCGTGGCACGATTGGACGACATCTTGGTGAGGTTTGTTATGGCTCTTTGAACGATATGAAAGCATGCTGACATTGACAAATATAGATTCCGCCTCTTGACGACGATGACCAGCACGTACTCCCTGAAAGTAGCTCAGCGAGCCAAGAGCCGCCCGTGGTCAACGGTAAAGCCGCTATCATACCAAGCGTCGCAGCTGTCACCGCTCAATAACGCCCTCGGGGTCAGAAGCATCCGAAGATTTTCGAAGCGTCGTATCCATAAAATACAGCTGACTCTTTATGGAAAGTGCTGTGTCGAGAACACACCACTCTCGATCATCTAGAACATTCCTAAAAGCAACCCGGTCATTGAGTAGGCCGGAGAACACACACAATGGTGCACTGAACGCCGAGGGAGTGGCAAGCGGCATTCAATAGTCAAGTGTGAAGATTTCGCATCGTTTTGCAACCCTCACCAAAAGAGCATCATGTGTTACTTTTGACTTCCTTGGTATATATAGATCTGCTGAAATTTAGATGAGACACGCCAGGTCCTGTGACTACTGTCCACACACAGATCTACCCATCTCTCACCTGCAGAGCTTCTCCATTAGCCTTGTACGCACCATCCACGCCCTCTCTTTTCTCCAGCTCAGCCCTAACCTTCGGCAAGATATATCTGCCGTAATCAATGGCATCATTGAGGTTGTCATAGCCGCGAATAGAGATCAAATCGCACCCAAGGTCAACATAGTCCAAGATGGAGTCCACAAGGGTTTGCCACGAGCCAACAAGAGCGGTGGAAGCACCTCTTGCATTCGTGGCCGTAACAGTAGGATACCACAGTGCTCGATCCTGCACCTCACCCTTCTTCGCAATCTCAAGAAGTCTTTGCGAGCCAACATTCTGGGGCGATGGACCAGCCTGACCGGTCTTGCCTTGACCAGCAGCAATATTACTCTTCAGCTTATCCAGAGTATTATGCGCCTTGATCCAAGCCAGCTCCTCAGTTTCCGCCCCAATAGGACGAAAAGTAACCCAGATCCTCGGGCGATCTCTCCTCCCCGCCTTCGCAGCCCAGGCGTAGACTCTATCAATCTGCTCCTTCGTCTCCTTCAAAGGCTCCCCCCAAAGCCCAAAAATATCCGCAAGCTCGCCCCCAATCCTATACGCCTCATCCGAACTCCCACCAACAGACACGGGAATCTGATGCTTGCCAAAACAATTCCCCTCCCGAGCTAACGGTCGAACGCGATTCGAGAAATGTTTGAATTGGTAGTATTTCCCATTCCAATCGAAGGGTTCCGCAGATTCCCACGCACGCCGAAGGATCTTGATGTACTCTTCCTGCCGCTCGTATCTTTCGTCTTTGCTCAAAAAGTCTCCTTCTTTGGCCTGCTCGGCGTCGTTTCCTCCTGCGATGAAATGCACCACGGCTCGGCCTTGGGACAGCTGATCGAGAGTCGCGAGCGCTTTCGCTGCGACCGTTGGGTAGAGGGTGTTTGGGCGTAAAGCGATGATCACCTTCAAATTTTTGGTGGCTGAGGCGATTGTTGCGCCTGTCGTGAAGGGGTCGAAGGAGGAGGAGTCGTAGGGCTGGAGGGTGTAGGTGAAACCATATTCGTCTAGGTTGCGGGCGTATCGCTTGAGGAAGTCTGGGTCAATGCCAGCGCCTGGGATAGGCGCGAGCTCGGTTGAGGGGTTGGGGAATGCTAGAGAGATGAACTCGGCCGGCATCTTGAATGCTATGTGGTCGTATTGGATGTAATGTCAGTGTAGTAGCGAGAAGCTTTACGGACCGTGCCTGATCGAGCTATGTTCTGGCTATACTTAAGCATGGCGGCGGCTTGGTCAAGCTGCTACATGGACGCGTTCCTGAATTGCGAAAGCTGCAAGTCAATCACGCCTTCTGGCATTTGTGGAGCTTTGCAGGGCAGTACCGGTGTCGCTCCGACGAACCGCATGCTGTCAGTCGCTTGATTTCCAATCCGGCCGGGATGGAATATGTGGCGAGATGTCACGACTTGTTCGAAAGGCGCTTCATGTTGTCGTTGAGAAAGAAGAAGTGGACGAGGCTGGGTTTGAGCCGAGGCTTGTGATCGCGCACGGACAGTTCTTGCAACCTCATTTCTTTCAAGCAACTCCAAAATACCAATACCATTAATATGATTTTCTCCCCGGCTTCTATTCGGGCGAGCTGAACAATATGAGTATGGGGTCAAAGTGCGAGAGGAAAAGATACGAATGTACCACAACTGGAAGTGATTCGCAAAATTATATTTTAAATACTGCAGGAGAGTGGTGATGAAGTCCGTGCGGTGGTAAGTGAATCGATCCGCAAGCCTCGTAGCTGAGCATTCACTTGCACAGATTCCAGGATACCGACAATTGACTTCTTAGCCACCTAGCTAGGTGACTGCGAGGATCTACTCGAGGCGTAGGATGTCCATTCCGGCCTCTTCGTCTGATCAAACATACCCTTCTCCACGTCCTTAGGTTGTACCAAGGCACGCCGACTCGTAAGAAGATTGAGCGAAGTCTGAGCCTGCCCTTTACCATGGCTCTTCCCCTCAGGAATATAAAAAGTGCTGGTATCGCGCAACCGCTGTGTCGTCCGCTTGTGCCACCATGTCCAGAGAAGGATCGTCGCAGCAGTAATAGGTACGCAAAGGACCCAGAAAACCCAAAACTTGCTCGACATGCGCCATTCCTGTGTCGTGGCATTGTTGGGAGGCTCGAAGTTGAAGAAACTCATGCTGAAAATTGCACTGAGGAATGTTCCGGGGAGGAAAATGAGACCTAAAAATGATATGGTGCGCATGGCAGCGCTGTCTTCGGAAGATGACTGAGCGATCTGGCCGGTAGCGATACTGTCGAATTGGCTGTTGAGATGGAAGGTCTGTTTTCCAAAATCAGTTAATGAAGTCGAACTTGAATCGACATTTGCGGAAAACTGACAAGTTGCATCTCATTTGCTAGTCTTGTCTCTAGTGCTCTTGAACGTCCTTCGAACCCTTGTAACAGCGTCCTGTGGTAGGACAAAGATCGCGTGATTTCTCTATGGCGATACGGCTGCGGGATCGCTGACGAGAAAATTTCATGCTCCTTTTGGATGGCATCAAGGACGTGAAGAGCCGTCTGCAGCATCTCTGTCGAGTGAATAGCATGCCGTGCAATCTCGTGGAAGTCTTCATACTGCGGCTTAGGCCGGTTAGCAGCTGTGGTTTTGGCTGCTATTGGTCGATGTTTTTCATGCCATCGAATGAGGTCACGGCACTTCCAGACCTGAGCGTCAAACAACGGCATAGCATGCTGAAGTATGAGGGTCCAGATTGTGGCTGGCAGGTGAGCTGAGAAAGTCGAAGTCGCGAGCGTGGTTCTAAGAGCATGTTTGAGCTGTTTAGGCAGATCGAAGCAATACGCAGTGAAGCACTTATTTGGTCGCCAGCGAATAAAGAAGCCCAAGCGATCCCAGTGGTACTTTATATCCCCAAGCTGCTCAGCCTCAGGTGATCCGACTCGGTGAGCTTGCTTGGCTTGGAGTCGAAGATAGCTTTCGTGTACTTCGAGCTCCTCTTCGTCATTAAGATGTTCTGCGGCTCGAAAGAAGCCGCTGGCATCTAAAGCCATCTTAGTCCAGAATTCTTGAGACATGTTCAGTCCAGCTCGCAGGCGTGCATGCCTAGTTTTGCCTTCTTCATCTTGCTCGTCTGCTAATTCTCCTGCATTGATGAAGCTGTGTACAGATACAACATTAGCGATTGTCCGATCGTATCTGAGGTTAAGGTACTGACACAAAGCTCGACGTTATTGGTTCAGTACTACTGCCAAGAACTCGTGAGAGCTCGCAGTGTCGCTCACACCATGAACCTCCATGTCCTTGTTCGAGGATCTCGACCTTATCATACGCCAACGACATGGTCTTAGAATTGCTATGAGAAGTGAAAGATCGGATCTACCAGTATGAGTAGAAGCTGGACATTTCAGAGGTCTTGAATACGAACCATGTGGGGCTGAAGCTATAGTTCTAGTCTCATGCAGACTTTGAGGGCAGTGCCGTGCAGTGCATCAGACCACCACGCCTCCATACCATTCCAAAGCTTGCCAGGCACCACAGCCTCATTGGAAAGAGTTGACGGTTGGGAAATAATTGCAAGGCTGCTCACCTCGCATCTTCACCATTTCGATCGTGTGTGGTGGAAGCGAAAGCACATGCTTTTCGGAGACCTTGCATAAGCTGCACGTCGTGCATGAAGGCGCCGCGCTCACTGCAGGCAGCCTCCCGCCGACCGCCCGGCCGCATCATTGTACAACTCGACTTCAGCCTCAGGCGATACATGGCTTGATGATGATTTTCTCGTTGTATTTCTGCATGAAATCGGCTGGATGGCTGTGCGCGATCGATCGAGCGTTGGTGAAGCGGTCAGACCGCGGCTGCCCATGGCTGTTGTCATGAAACGGCAGATCAAGTTGTTTCTTTCCTCGCGCATGTATGAACGGCGAGTGACATTGTCAAGATGATGAAGACTTCAGGAGGACGCTGGCCGCATGAAAGACCGCCAAGACTTTGCTGAGTCAGTCGGGGTCCGTGCTCTCAGACTGTCCTTGGTCGTGACACCACACCACACCCAGTCGGCCTTCATCTCACACGCATCAAACCTCCACGGACTCTATAGCACGACCCGGTATCTCAAGGTCACCAAGAAGACCGCTTCCACATGCAGTGGCAGGACTGGCTCCGAGAAGCAGGGCAAATATCAGTTCGCTGTCCTCCACCAGTGCCTTTGCTACCTGGCATGGTAAACTTTCTCGCCCTCTAGGAACCTTTAATGTATTGGAAATAGTTGACTTGCCTACTGCTATGTCTGTTCCAAAGTCAGTTGAGGCTCACTCGCAGTTTTTCGCTTCCTGTCCTTACAAGATTGAGGAACCACATGACCACGAGAACCAGAAGCACTCGATACTTGAGCCTCGATGGCCATGTCCGGACGCCTCTCGCCGTGCGTAGCCAACGTGGTGTTGATATCGGCTTCTCTTGATCTTCCTCCTCAGCCAACAATCTCATCTCGACCTCGGAGGCGCCTTTCATGTTGCTCCCTTCCCGCTTCTCCGACTCTATTCGCTATCCGTGCATTGCATCTTAGGTTCAGCAAGAGATCCGCTCGACCACGCGCCACTTCTTCAGTGGTGGACAGCCTATCGTCGGCGAACATTTCTGTACGACCGTTGCTCAAGCTGTTAAACGTCCACATCACATCCAGTAGGCCTTGATCATCCAGCTCGCGAAGCTTCTCATTCAGCTTTTGATGTGCGACGATACTGTCCTGATGTTCCGGGCTTTTGCTATACGGTATTGTAGTCGGCGCGAAAAATAGCAAGTCGCTAGGCCCGTCTAGATAGCTGATACTTGCTCCGATGGGCGTATGAGGCGTTAGTTCGTAGGCCACAGCGGCAAGGCGTTTGGCAGTGAGAGCATACTCATCAATGAGATTATGCTCGATAGCGTAGTTGCCGGCTCCGATCACAAGCAACGATAGACGTTCAGTTGCCCTATCTCGGAACGCCTCGATACGTCTAATAGTAGAGCCGTTGAGGCGAGGGTCCTAGATAAACTCGAGTGTGACGCGGCCGTTCTTGAAAGTGTCGTCCTGCTTATCGAAGTTGGTTTTCATATCCTTATCGAGTCGCTGGGCAATGTGCTAGAAGACCGACTTCAACTGAAGATCACCGGCGAACACAATCTTGCGTTCCTGCTCCTTGGCACATGCGTATAGCTCTCTACTGCCGTGGCACATGTTTGAGCAACCTGGTGTTAACCAAACTTTGCCAGCTTTACCGACGGGTCCTCCGTACACTTAATCCGGAGCTTTGAAATGAAGATACTGTTCCCTAAGGATCTGCAATCATGGAACTTAGTCTAATGCAAGGGCTGTTGACGACGTTTCATTATAGTACGCTTTTGATCAGATAGATTATTATAGCGCCTATTTGGTATCAATTACCAACGGGCGTCAGCATCGGTGCTAGGGCTGAAGGGACGCAATTGTATGCTGTTGCCGCTATGGCGTATTGATTTGTCGTTTACATCAGCGAGGTGGTGGATGCTCATCAATTCCTATCCTTCCATCGATTCCGTAATCTCATAGTCCTTCTCCCGCCCTCAACCGGCATCGCGTGCTCACAAGGCCGGCCATAGATTTCGCTCGTGCAGTCCCCAGGAAAAATCACAGTTCCCTTCGTATCAACTGGCGTCACAACCTCAACCACAAATCCCGTCCCATTCGCCTCTTTCCTAACCCGCGCCACAAATTTACCCAAAGGCGTCTCAAACCCAGCTCTCGCATCACTTAAATTACCCAACTTCGGTTCCAAAACCCATTCCCTCCCACCAGGTTTCAAGATCTTCAAACCTACAACTTCATGAATGAGCGCTTGGACAGGCGCGACACTCCAGCTGTGAGAAAGGGACGTGTATTTCGGATCATGATTGTAGCCTGCTGTAGAGCGATACCAGAGACTGCCATTCGCTGAGATGCCTTCGGCGAATGTACTGCCTGTCATCAGAGGGCTTTTGAGTAAGTAACCCCAAAGACGGTGCAGGAGGTCGAGACCACGGTCTGGGTTGCCGGAACGGAAATGGCCGAGTAGTTCGATGCCTGAAACGAAAGGTGAGATTGTATCTGGAAGTTCTGGAGTTACGGGACCGATTTTGTTCCAGTTTGTGGTCAAAGCAGAACTTAGGTCAGTGGCTTGAGATGCGTTCGTTGTGAGGTTGAAGGATAGTGCCAAGGCGTTTCCATCCTGCGGGTGGAGGGTAGTGGTGGTGTTGTCGAAGAAGAGACACGCCGAAGTATCCCAGAGGAGTTTGTTATAGCTTTCCTTCAGCTTTGATGCTGCGATGAGCCAAGTGGTGGCTTGATCTGTGTCATTGTTGAGGCTTGCCAGAGAGGTGAGCACATGGTAGTCGAGGGCGTTGAGGGCTGAGTTGTATCCACCTGCACCTTGTCTACCCCAGTCATTGAGTTGAGTCTGATTGTGAAGGCCGGTATCGGGATCGAGGCGATCCAGAATGAAGTCCACACCATCGACCGCATTCTTCCATTGCTTGTCCAGCCATACCTCATCACCACTGTACATGACATAATCATAAATGCTGATCAGGGTCCAGGCGTGATATGTCTCGCTTTGGAGGCCATTACGAAAACTGTTGGTGTCCGGACCAGCAAACGGAAACTCACCATAAGATTCTGAGCTGGTATTCTGGTGGTGTATCAAAGTCTCGAGGCCATTTCGCCACGGCAAGAGACCAGCTTCACCAAAGGCCAGTGCAGCTGCAGGTCCTGAAATTCCAAGATCACCTGGCCAAATAGCACGATCACGTTTCGCACCATCTACCAGGAAAGGCCCTTCTCCGACTCCAAGACTGGCATTATATGCCCAACCGGGTCGGACTTGCGGCAGCCATCTTCCAGTATTTTGTGGTACGATGTTCGTTTGTACAGTATAGGCCCCGGCTGCCCACAGCCGACCAAGCTGATTATAGTACGACTCGGAAGTTGAGAAGTGTCCTGTGTAAGCTCGAAGATCCGGCATGTTAGGAGCGAAGCCAATGTCGCATGTTGTGTTTGAGACAGATATGTTCGCCCGAGCGTTCAAGGTTAGGAATCTGAATCCGCCTCGAAAGTTGACAGAAGGCATAGTGTAGAATCCCGCAGGATCGTTGACAGTAACATTGAGAGCTCTATCCCAATCCTGAGTGTACACTCCGCCGGTGTCATCTGATATATTGCCAATGAAGCTCGATGACTCTGTGAAGGCCAGAGACAATGGCTGCGTGTCGTTCGTCTCATAATCGAAGGCGATCAGCCCAGCTACCTCTACCCCGAAATCTAAGACTGCCTGAGAGCCAGCACTCATATGTAGGATGGTCCCATTTTGTCCTTTCTCAATATCAATCTGTCCGGTGTGTTCGCATATTGATTCTGATAACAAGCTTCTCGATGCAGGGCTGAAGACATCTGTTGGTTCCTCTTCCAGAATTTGGCTTGTGGTATCCGAGAGACATTGTTGCAGGGAAAGTAGGAGGGCAACAACAAAGCTCTTCATTATACTTTTAGAGCTATGCTTGCCGAAGAGTGTATCTCACACCTCTCGTGTAGCAGCAAAGCGCGACCGCCACTTCTGAGAGTATGCTAGACATCATGTTGCATTGTTGCTATGTCTGGACCACATCGATCATCAAATTGCCGAAACCGGCTGATGTCGAGGCAGGGTACGAGGGGTAAGAGGTATACCATGTTATGCTCGGTCCAGACACGGCCGAGTGTGCGGATGCCCACAAGGACGCCTTGCCGATGTCGAACATGACATTTTGGCGTTATAGGCTTGTGAAAATCTGTTGTGCTGGTCAATTGAGTGACCAAGGGAGGTCATTGCGATTGTCCCGGGTAAAAGAAAGGCACAAAGTGTGCTACCATCTGAACTTGGCACAACCCTACTGCTGTTGCTGAATCACATAGTCTAAGGCGTTCGATGAAGCGCTGTGGGCGTATAGGCAAGCTTTCGAGGTTGGCGCCACGCTTCCATGGAGTATCTGTCCATCTGATCGTGTGACGTAGGGTTGTCGGTCACGACATACACTGTTGTGTGCGTGCATGTTTCGTTGGTCGAAATACATGTAGCTTCCAGATGCAACCGGTCACGTAGTTGTCCCGATTTGTGCTGCCATAGAGTGCTATACTTCCAGAGAAACTCACCGACACATTTCCCCAGTGCAGGTGCCTATTTAGTTAGCTAAGATGATCTGCCACATGTTTCGCGGGTAGTAGAGAGCACGCAAAAATGTCAAGCATGCTAGACGAGGTAGTTACCAAGAGGTTGACATTGCAATGCATTGGAACCTTGGATGAGCCTCGATATCTAAGGCACATTTCGCAGTGCATTTCCTCGCGAAGATGCTGTGGGCCGTGGACGGAGACTCAGCACTTTGAGGTTCGAGACGCTGGATTCATTCTCGGAAAAGCCATCTGCTCGGCGGAGAGTAGACTGCAGGAATCATTCGGTGAATTCCGTGACATCTCGTTGTCCTCTTGCTGGTCGAGTGTAAGCGCCAGGACGGATTGTGGCATCCAGATCTGCTCCTCTTCTGCTTCGCCTGTAGAGTGACACAACATGTCATTCGCTATGACCTCACATGCGCGAGCAGATGATTGATCCGACAAGCTGCATGTCTGCAAACAGGGACGGCGCGTATGTGTGCGCTCTTGCCAAACTTCCAGCGTGTCATTTGCCCGTCTCTTGCTTCCCTCGTATTAATGCTGCGAGTCTCGCATTCTCATGGAGGTGCTCGTCGTAGCCAAGGTCTCCCGAGGGAGAATCGCAGTGCGCAGTTGTCCACGAACACGAAGAACGACTTCTCGTTGACAGCCAGCGGCAGAGCCACGCCTGATACAGGCCTTGCAGGGAGTGTTCCTCGAACATTGGATTTTATTCGTCGCACATGCTGGATGCGTCGCGATGTGTGGACTGGTGGGATGTGGAAGGAAGGAAGAGGAGTGTGTCGCGAGATGCAGTTTCTCTTCAACGTCGGGTCTTGGCACTGGTCCTCACTTGCAAAATATCACGAGCGGAACCAAAGCCTAACATTCCAAAATCATTTATTTGACCCAGCAAATATGTACATCTATCCAGTATGAGCTATCGTATCATAACTAAAACCTGGGGTATCTTCCTTCCACAAAGCAACAGTAACGCCACTCGTTGGTGCCAAAATCTTGACATGGTCGTGACTGTCATGGACCAGAGAGCTGGCTCTGTGTCGTTCATCTATGAGCTGCGGGAAGCAGCAGTTGGGTCCTGATAATGCTGGGTGTAGGTTGTCTCCCAGTCACCGCCGTACTTGGCCTTGGCCTTCTGGAGGAACATCGCCGCTGCGACAATGTTGTCTGTCGGCATGTAACGGTTCTTCAACTCTGGGTTCTCGTCGGCCATTTGGCCCCAAGCGACGTAATCCATCTGGGTAAGACCATTATAGACAAGTGGATGACCCTTGCTTTCAGTCCAGATGATCTTGACCATGATGTCCTCTGGCACACCAGTCTTTTTACAAGCGGCTTTGATCGCGTCGCCGTAGACTTTCTGGATGTCTTCTGCGGTCAGGTCCATGGAGCCGAATGCAGGGAAGTTGGCTTTCATTTGAGTCATAGCGGCACGGGCTTGGGGATCTTGCATGATCTTGTCGACATTTGCAAGGGCAGAGTCCGGAGAGACCTTGATCCGAGCTTGGGTGAAAATGGCCTTGAGGGTGGACAGCATGGTCTTTGGATTCTCGCTCGTCTTGAGGGCCGTGACCTCGTTGGTGATCATGGAACACCATTGGGACTGGTAGGTCGAAGGCCATTCTGATGGGTTGGCAATCCCGAAATCGCAATCGCTAGATCGCGTGGTGGGTGCGGCAAGCACACCCTGCGCTGCCAGCAACGCTGTACCAAGGCAGATGATGTTCTTCGAAAGAATAGCCATTTCCGTTACGTGAGATGTCGTCTCGTCGTGGATGTATCTGGTCTGAGCCTGGGGAGAATTCCTGTGCTCGCTACCGAAGGCTCGTTCTACAAGCAAGTGTAGCTGGTGTTTCGTGTATTGTTCTGTGGTAATGCGGTTGTTTTCTAAGGAGTGAAGCTCTACCTGGAGGGATGGATGGTTTGGGAAGAGAGTGTGTATGAAAAGAGAGCGTGTATGAGAAGAGAGTGTGTAGTCGTTGACTTACCAAGAGCGATATCAAATGCCAAACGCATTGTTCTTATAATCTTTTTCGCAGACAGCATCATCTCGGTGGACTGGCGCGAAGGCCCACGAAGACCCACAAGCCCGGAACAGTGACCGACACGAGCGCTAGCAGAAGTGCTAAGGGTAAACTAACCAAAGTGCCAGGGTCCGAGACACGAGCCGGCCGCTCACATGTTTGGCTCAGGAACGAGCCACGAGGACCAAGCCAGTGGGAATCCCTGGTGAGGATTGGTTGTTTGAAGCGAGCATCTCCACGGAAAGTGATGCAGGGCCAGAAGGTGATGTGTTGGGACCCGCAGCCTCCATGTGGCTCTTTCCCAGCGGCATGTCGTAGCGCGCGCCATATCGAATGCTCTGGTGCCAGAAGGGACTACTGCCCCTCTACAACTGTGAGTATTTGCGTTGAGCGCCAAATTCTCGGACAGGGCGATGTTTGAGCAAGCGCCAAGGCCCAGTCGATGTTCACGCAGCAGTGAGCTTGTCTTGACCGCCGCTCTTCTGCCCAACTGGCCTTTCGCCTTCGTCACGGAGCTGTTGCATGATTGACCAGAAGCAGCGCAACCTCTGCTGACGAAAAGGGGTGGAGAAGAGACGTCAACGTTACGCGCTGGGAATGGCGAGATCGGAGATGGACGATAGGAGAGGGTGGCGCAAAGAACTTCAATGTCTCTAATAAGACTCTATGTCTCTGTATGCATTTCGTAGTGTGAAGGTGTAGTTGTCGTGCGACAACACCAACATCAGGTGATCAGACGTTCACGTTTCATAGAATAGGGCTGAAACTCTCCAGGGCTTCGGGACAAGGCAGCTGCAAACAGACCTCTCTTGCCATCAATCGCAACAACATGCAAATATCGGAATGTTCAAATGAAGCACTCAGCCGAAAGAACACGGTCAGAGCGGGAGATGCCTGAATTACAGCACGAAGCCGACCCAGAAGTCGATTTCTCGCGACCCAGATCGGCTCTCGGCGAACGTCCCTGAAGTCGGACATTTCTACAGAACCAGAAATCTGGGAAAGTTTGCCTTGAACTATGCAAGATGTCGCCTTACGGCCTGGAAGACATTGGGACTCACCGCGTGTTCCGAGTCCCAAAGAGGCGGAGTGCTCACGATCGTGACGTGGTCCTGTATCAGCCTCTAAGAGAGAGCATGTCTCGAGCATCGTTGGAGCATGTCTAGTCGGGAAATCTCCTAAGGCTGATGAGAGCCTGCTCTATATGCCGTGAGATACGTGCAGAATGTTTGCAACTGACCTTTGCGGCCCCTCTGCAGAGACGATACGGACCGCACCCTGCTGGACCACGTATGTCCGCCTGATAACCACCGCCATCATCAAGCTGTGCTGCACGACGTCTTCAACAATTTCTCGATACCGTCCGCCTAATGAATGAGTACTGTACGTCCTGCCGACAAGTGAACATGGCGGCGAAGCCAAAAAACCTCTCTTCAAACTGGGTCCTTAGCAACAGGCTTCGATTAGCAGAATACTTTGCATGTGCATGAATACGAAGTTTCCCATATGCTCCATTCCTGCTGTAGCATCCTCAAGCTCTGCTACAGTACCTTGACTTCAAGGCAGGTTTCCAATCATTCGTACGAAACCACCTCATGACCATGAGACAATTTGCGATGGGCTAGAATTCGGCGGCAGACCAAACGTCCTAGGCATCTGGCAACTCTTCGCCTCTTCACTCGATCTCATAGCCCTTGATACCTGCTTAAACGAATGTGTCGCATTAGGCAACCCGTACTGACATCGAGACCAAGCACTGAGGGGAGAGTAAGGCTTTTTGGATTGAATCGACGCGGCAGGAGTTCCTCATTTCCTAGGTGTGAGTGAATGAAGGAGCCATGCATGTTGATTGATGGTCTTGCACATGCATGTGACACAGTGTCAGTGCACTCGAAACCTCACTTCACATCTAGATCAGAGTCGAAGTGAGCATGACTGCAACCTGGTTATATCATTTCTTTCATTCTTTTCGACATCGCGTTCGTTACCAACATCGCATTCTCTCGCACACATTTTCCAGCGCCATCAACATCCTCGTAGCATCAAGATGGGTCTCTACGAAGACCTCCATCCTAACTGGGACATTGACAAGCGCTACATCAAGCTCATCTGGGGCTTCAAGCATGCAGAAGTTGACGACGACCTGCACGAGAGTTTTCGCGAGGCCACGATAGAGCTGACTTTGCTGCTCATTATTACGGCCACCGTGATGAGCTCGGTCATGGTCGGGTATTATGCCTTCTTCAAGCCGATGCTTACAAGGGCACTCAATGGGATCTCGGGGTGAGCATCGCACATCGAGATGGAGGAGCGGCGGCTGCTAACCAAGAGATAGGCGACTCAGTACATATCGATTCTCGACATGCTCGTTCAACAAGCGCGTCCTGCAAGTCCTCGCCTCGATCTGGTCATTCGCTTTAGAGCACTACATGTTCGCGTACGCCCTTCCACCAGCCGTAGAAGCGGCATTCACATGCACGTTCGCAGGTAGAGTGCTTTCGCTCGAGATGGGAGCTGGGTGGGTGGTACGCTGGACGGCGTTCTGCCTGCATCTGATCGTTTGCGCATTCTTCGCTCGACTTGCACAAGCAGGGCGTGCAGCTGGCGTCAGATCAAGCTGCGTCTGAAACATGATCGGTCAGAGAAGCAGAATGAGCTGGCAGAGACTGAGGAGCGGTGCGGTGTTGCAGAAGCGGGCAATGGCAATTGAAGCTGAGGTGGAAAGTGACGAACGACAAGAATATGTGAGGCGTTTTTCGTGGGGCTGGTGGGTGGCTCCTGCTTTGCAAGCTTGCGCTTGCCAAATTCTGAAACTGAACTCACTTCTGGTAGTTGCAGCTTCATCAACTCCCACATCACCTCAACCTCGAGCAAACATCCTCGGACATCGACTGCTCGAGTCCGCTCCCCTCCACCGTCCAACTCACCCGCCCCACCCTCTCCACCGACGAGCAGCGCCATCGCCACTATCCAGCGCATCGACTAACGCAGCGGCGCATCTCCTACACACTAATGCCAGCCCGCCGAATTTGACGCGCCTGATCAGAACATAACTGCAGCTGGAGATATCCGACAGTAAGAGCTCGCGCAGCACGAAGCATACTTGAGAGGCGATCAGCATGTCTGACCGGAGACTGCAGTCCTCTCGCGACGACCGACGCCGGGATCATGATGGAGGCGATCGCCGCGACCGCCGTCGAGATGGCCACCGCTCGAGGTCACCACACCACCGTCGCCGTGACGGCCCCGAGATAGACAGCTACTCTAGTAGCCGCAACTACCGTGAGCGAGAGCGCGAAGAGCGTTATGGACGTGGCGACCGCGATGGAGGAGACGACAGAGGCTGGGGCAGAGATCGCGGTTCGGCTCGCCGAGATGCCAGACGTGACGACGACCGCGACAACAGACGTCGTGATCGTGATCGCAGAGGCGATCGTGATGACCTGTTTGCTGACAGACGCGGCCCACGACGCGATGATCGTGGCCCTGACCGCAGAGGCGAGGACCGAGACCGCGGCCAGGATCGCGATGATATGCGACAGCTCGAGCGCCAGACCGCACGCAAGAGCGCCTCACCTCCACCCAAAAAGCCAAGAGAGCCGACTCCTGACTTGACAGATGTAGTGTCCATCTTGGAGCGTAAGCGCCGTCTGACACAGTGGGACATCAAGCCACCTGGCTACGAGAATGTTACTGCAGAACAGGCGAAGCTTTCCGGCATGTTCCCACTCCCAGGTGCTCCCCGACAGCAGCCAATGGACCCTCAGAAATTGCAAGCGTTCATGAATCAGCCCGGTAACCAAGCTAGCAGCACCGCCTTGAAGCCATCTTCTGCTCGCCAGTCCAAGCGTCTTCTAATTCACAACATCCCAGCAGCTGCTACAGATGACAACATTGTCGACTTCTTTAACCTGCAGCTGAATGGACTGAATGTCACCCGCGGTCAAGATCCATGTGTCTCTGCTCAGATCAGCAAGGAGAACGGCTACGCTTTGGTAGAGTTCAAGACTCCAGAAGATGCCACCAATGCCATGGCTTTCGATGGCATCAACATGATGCCGGATGCCATGGACACTAACGGCGACTCTAATGGTACAGCCAAGGGTCTTCAGATCAAGCGGCCGAAGGATTACATTGTCCCTAACGTCACCGACGAGACCGAGAATCCATCCGGAATTCTCTCTGGTGTGGTGCCAGATACTCAGAACAAGATCTCCATCACCAACTTGCCCACTTTCTTGGGTGAGGACCAAATCCAAGAGCTGCTCAACTCCTTTGGCGAGCTTCGCAACTTCGTCTTGGTCAAGGACACTTCCACCGAGGAGAGCAGAGGCATTGCTTTCTGCGAGTACAAGGACCCGTCTGTCACCAAGACAGCTGTGGAATCACTCAATGGTATGGAGCTTGGCGATGCTGCCATGAAGGTCAAGCTTGCCAGTATCGGAATCCAGCAGGTGCCAGGCGAGATGAGCGTTAATGCTATGAGCTTGATGGCCGGCACGCAAGCAGAGGGCACGGAGAAAGGACGTGTCTTGTGCTTGATGAACATGATTACACCAGAAGAGTTGATGGATGCTGACGAGGCCGATGGTAAGTTGTTGCCGTGTCGCGATCTGCGATCAAAACTGACTTTTCGACTACAGAAATTCTCGTTGACGTCAAGGAGGAAGTTTCCAAATATGGCCCACTCCTGGACGTCAAGATGCCCCGACCAACTGGCGGTTCACGTCAAAACAATGGCATTGGCAAGATCTATCTCAAGTACGAGTCACCGGATAGCGCTGCCAAGGCTCTTGCCGCGCTTGCTGGTAGAAAGTTTGCCGACCGCACGGTGGTCGTCACATACTTCGGCGAGGAGTACTTTGATGTCAATGCATGGTAAGACCCTTTCTTTTTCTTTCTCCTGGCTCGTAGGTGGCATAGCAGAGGTGTTGGTGGATGAGGGGTGAAGATCATGGTGGTGGTGGTAGTGAGAGCTCAGCGGACAATCGAAGACAGGATTTGGGTGGTGAGCGAGCTACAATCGGGAGAGAAAAGTTCAAGGAGTGGAGTGCGCACGCGAAGCGCACAGTATCATGCGCAATCTGCTCAGAATCGAGCAGTGATTGATACTTCTTCGTACAACAGCTGTACCATACCTGGCATTGCATCGGGGGCGGTTGTAGCAAGACTGTGCAAGTACGGAACAAAACCAAAATAAGTCAAAGTCATACACTACGCTGTACCATCCTTCCGTCTCAACTGGCATAACTTCACACATGACCAATAGGCACAATATCACATCGCAAGCCCCTCCAAATCAATCCCCCCATCCCTCCTCCTCTTCACCCACATCTTCGCCTTCGGATTCGCAATCATAGCAGTCCCATACTCCACCCACCTCGCCATCCCAGCATCCTCCAACTTGAAATCAAACTTCAAAACCAAATGCACCATCGCAATCTTGACCTCATTCGCCGCAAAAAACCTTCCGGGACACGCATGTTTGCCGTGCGCGAAACCCAAATGTTCGGGACTCGTGGCGACAAGATGGCGGCGGTGTCCCATTGTGGGATCGAGGAAGCGGTAGGCGTTAAAGGTTTCCGGGTCTGCGTAGATGGAGGCGGACCACATTTTGTGGGAGGATATGGCTGTGCGGGCGCCTTGGGAGATTTTGAGGCCGTTGGAGAGGTGGACCGGGGAGGTTGCGGTTCGGTGCATTGTTACTGGGGAGGTGGGGTGTTATGTTTAGTGATTTTTGAGAGACAGAGAGAGAGAAAAGGGGGGGGGGACTTTTTACCCATGTTGATTGGTTTCAAACGTTGAGTTTCTTTGAGAAAGGAATCGAGGAGATGGAGGTCGTGGAGGGCGGTTTTTTGCCAGCCGTGTTTTTTTAGGACTGAAATTGCTTCTTCGCGTAAGGGGTTTAGGAGTTCGGGGTGGGTGCCGAGGTTTAGGAGGGCTTGGAGGAGAAGATCGCTTGTGGTGTGGATTGCGGCTACGGAGAGACTCAGTTGTATGTCGACTTCGTGATACTTCTTCGTTCCGTGGGAGGCGTTGCGGAACCATTCGATCGCGTCGTCTGGGAGGTTAGGTTTACGACCTTCCTGCTGCGCTGTAGATATCTCTTTGTGTCGTTCGTCGAGGACGGGTTGGAGGATTGATGCGGCGGTGCGGTAGTCGCGTCTGACTTTGCGGCACAGTGGGAAGAAGCGCTCCATGGGCCATTGGATGATTCTGGGCATGAATCGACAGATGGTGCTTGCCATGAAGGCGTCTGTCGTGAACTCCACCGACACGCGAAGCCATTCCGGATCCTCGGCGAAATGAGATGGGAGGAAGATGCGGGTGGAGAGACGTGCGACCCATTTCAAAATGTCCTTTCTGATATCGATCTCATGCCATTCGTTATCGCTCAAGATCGGATTCCATGTATCGTCGAGACAGGAGGACATTTCTTTGGAGAGAGCTTTTGTGAACTTGGGGAGACTTCGGGTCAAGCCTGTCATGACCGCCTCTTCGAAAAGGCCTGGAGGCGGGCTCCTGAAAGTTCGAAAAGTGTCATATTTGGCGAGGAAATGCTTGATGTAACATCAGTGAGAACGTCTTCAACAACTCTCGTGATGCGTACCTCTTCCGTGAATCTCTGGAAAGAAAGCTCAGACTTCTCGTTGACTGCATCGATCATTTCTGGTGGTAGCATGATGATACGTCCTCCGTCGGTGAGGATCGAGAAGGGTCCTTTGAACTGTTGCCATTCTCAGCATGAGAAACACATTAGGATCAGGAATAAGATCCACATACCTGGCGAAATCCATCCGAGAGAAGTCTTCTGGCATGCTGAATATAATCTTTCCTGGCCTTGTAGTTCAAGTTCCACCATTGCGATTTCTTCTCATTGATGGATTCGAAATGCGTACCCCTTGCTCTCAACGACGAGACAATCCAGAACAAGCCAAGTATAAGCACAAGTACTCCATAGATGATCTCTCGCTGGACATGGAATACACCCTCAGCGAGGCTCTGCCACAGCCGACTCTCTTCGACCATATTTGCGACTGCACAAAACAGGCAGGGTATTCTCACGGAATGTGAGGTACACTTCACACGCCATTTTGTCGGAAGCAAGCTGGAACTGTGCTCGTACCCAAGAGTAGTGTATACGAGCTATGCGAGGTGCGAGGTGGAGCCTTCCGTTCTGGACTAGCGATGGTGCGTCCACGAGCCACAAAACTGAATAATCAACTCATGGACTTATGTGTTCACTCTGGTATACACGAGGAGCCGCGGTGGACCGTTTGCAGGTGCCTAGGGGAATAGCCTGAGGTACAGAGGCAGGCTGTGCCGTTCTTACTGCTCTGCAGCTATGATAGGGCCCGCGCTCTTCACATGTTAGTCCGCATGCGGTCCATTCGGTGTTTTCAGTGTTTTCTGGAGAATCCGCACGGACACCCATCCCCATATTCCGGACCAAAGCCGATCTGCAAGGGCACAATTCCTCGGTCACTTCCCCAAGCCTTAGCGGGCCCTAGCAACTCATCGATTCAGAACGAAACTTGTATAAAGTGAAGCTATTGTATTATCGCATTATTCTGGGGCTTGGGCGGGTAGCTAGGGCCCGGGGAATCCTCGAGCGCAAACTGCCAGTCCTGGCTGTAGACAGAGGTATCAGTGACAGTGTACGGCTTACATGTGCATATGCTTGGACTCCGAGTACATGACGTTCGTTGCGCTATTCTCGAGCCTGGGGATATGTCTACCCCGCTCTGTGCTACGATCGGCTTCCTCGACTTTGATCTGAAATAGTTTTATCGATCAGGCCAGCGAAGAAGTACTGCTGAAGTGCGATGGACGCCATTGGACACGGATACTGGATCAATTTGCACTTGTCGACGGCATCCGAGAGCTTCGAGCCAACGTCCTTGGCTTCGGGACAATCAGCCAGCGTCCAGCTATCCTTCTCGAGCATAGCAGGGATGTTCTTGGTAAACATTGCATTCCAGCCGGCAGCTTTACTGATGATCTCGTACATGGTTCTGCGATCCATGCCAAGTTTCTTGCAGAACGCCATGCCCTCGACAGAAGCCGCAAGATGAATGCCAGCCAGGAGATCTGCGATGGTCTCTTTACTGACCTGATGCGATTTAGTCATGTTGACATCGGCTGTAGCCATTTGACCGACAAGATCAGGTTGAGACTTCGGTAGATAAAGCTGTACGAGTGCAGCGTCGTCGACTTTCAGAAGGCCGGCCTTCTCTCCTTGAAGATATAACTGTTCCGCTGTTGTCACCACTGGAACCGGGAAATGTGCCTTCCTTGCTGTATCTGTCACGATCAAGCAGTCTTTCTGGATGATCGCTAACGCGCTATACGGATGCCAGTCGGTTTTTAACATGTGCGGTGCCCGGTTCTCGAACATAAAGCTTGCACCATTGGACTGGTTGACATGGTCGGTCACTGTATGGGTGTTGAGTCCGACTGTGGCGGCCAAGCCCAATGCTTCGGAGGCGGAAATGATGTTGGTCGCGGCCAGAAGTTGATGAACGGTCTTCGTCTTGGTACCGGCGCTGATGCCCCCCATGCGGTACAGATTGCCTGACATGGCCTGAAGCACTTCCCTGGCCTCGTCAAGGTGCTCCTCAGGTCCGGATTCGAATATCGACAAAGTGCCATTTGCAGCTCTAATGGTGCCGCCCGAGACCGGACAATCGAGAAGCTTTACATCTGGTCGGTTGAACTCTTCATCTAGTCTTTTGCGAAGCTCATGCAAGAAGTCTGGTGGAGTAGTGGAGCAAAGTATGAAAGTCTTGCCCTGACCAAGACCTTTGATTACACAATCATCGCCCTCAAAAAGCAAGCTGGAGTTCTGAGCTGAATTTGCCACCATGGATACGAAAAAGTCTGCATTTTGGGCCGCCTCTTTGGGAGTCTTTGCCGGCTTGCCTGAGGAAAGGGGAAGGTGTCAGCACAATACATGACGGGCGACCTCTCACGCACGCCTAATGCTTTCATAGAACTTACCTCCAGCCTCAACGAAGCTATCTACGAGGGGCTGATAGACATCGAATCCAGTGACTTCAAAGCCTTCCTTGACCAGATTCTTCGCCATGCCGCCTCCCATGGCACCCAGGCCGGCAAAGCCAATGCGAGGCTTCGTGGAGGACATGCTGGTCTCGATAGCTGTTTCTGTATGTCCTTGGTCTTTCACGTGTCGATGCCGCTCTTCTTGATCTCTAACAGTTCTGATACTGGTGCTGGTGCCAACTTTTCTATGCGGTGTATAGTTCAGGCTTTCGGATTAAGCGCCTCTTGGCCGACTTCGGTCTTTGTCGTCAGGAACACCAAGTATCTTGCATCTTTCGCTCAAACACCGAGTTGGCTTGCAGATGCCGCAAAAAGTGGGCAGTAGTGAGCACGAATCGGCTGCTATTGTCCCGCACGCGGCTAAAGACGTTTGTGACTGCCCCTCATGTTCCGAGCTCTTTCTGAAGCATTCTTTTGCCATCATCACTACATGTGCTCAAGATGTCGAGCCGCTTGGGAAGCTTCAGGTTGAGGGCCGAGAGGACGGTGATGGCTTCGTCCAAAGGCGCATGATACAGTAAGCCGACTGCAACAATGGCAAGCAGCGCTCTCTGGCCGTACAGTAGACGCGGACGGCGTAGTTTCTTAGGCCAGAAGGCCACGACAGCCGCCGGCATTATCCGAGCCCCATACTGGCGTTTGAGTGAGTATTGTCAAAGTGCCCCAGTACAGTATTGGACGGTATGGATGCCTCGCAAGCATACCAAAACAAAAACAACCACCTCGCTATCGGATCCTCGTGCGCACGTGAGAAAACCTTACCATCCATGACGTCCGGGTCTTACCGAAATACGCCGCCGCTATACCCAATCTCGCAATGCGTGCCGTCCCAGAGAGCGCATCTCTCCACCCACCAGTCCTTGGGAAGAACAACAAGCGTCGAAAAGCCTCCTAGAATATCGTTCCTCCACAGTCCGCTTCACTCAACATCTCGCACATGGCTCTCGCACGAGCGTCCCATCTTGGTCCTGCACTTGGCATGGTGCGACTGTAGACAACCTCAGAATGAGATTTTGAGGATTGAGGGTTTGTTTATTGGGTTGGATAGTGTTCCGTGCGGGATTGCGAGTTTGGGGTTGAATTTTTGGCATCCTGGGTGGTGTTTGCCGAGGGAGGAGGAGGAGGAGAGGGAGCGGGATGGGATGGGCGAGAAGATGGGGAGTGGGAGTGGGAGTGATGAGGAAAGTGGTATTGCGAGAAAGTAGATTTGCTGCTTTGGGATGAGTGACGAGGTTGTGTGAGATTGCTTGGGTGTAATTTGTAGCTTTGAACTGTGATAGATGAGGCTGGATAATGCATATGCATATGTGTGAATGACAGATCACAGTTGATGTTGTGTGTGCTATCTTCGTGTCCTCCATTCCACTTAGATCTAGATCGTGTTGGAACGAAGCTTGCTTTTCTGGTTGAATTCTGGTTGAAAGCAGCGCACCACCCGATGCAGAGCGACTGATAATTATACTCCTTCTGCACTTTCCCTCTTAACCTAATATGACCACCTTTTCCTCGCCCGGTTGAATGGGGTATCTCAATGCTCAAAAATTTATCCCAAGAACGCCGGTATTTCTGTTCGCCCGGCCTCTTGTTGAAGAAGCCGAAACACATAAAACTCCTCGCTAAATGCCCAACGAACTCCATGTCGAAGCGATCTTTTCGCTTCCCTCTCTTCCACTCTATCATCTAATGCTTCAGCGTGCTGTTGGAGCTCGCCTTATCTGCGCCGTTCACGACGTTGTTGCCATCCGGAACGCCATTGGTCGCAGGCTTCTCGTGGTTGTGTGTGTGTCCACTGACGCCGTTGAAACCATTCATGCCATTCACGCCATTTGTGTATGCGACTTCGTCAAGGCCTGACACCTTGAGTCCATCAAAAATGGGAAAGATGCCTTGCTGCTGGCGGAAGTCGTTGTGAACAATATTGACCAGAAACCAGCTTTGTGTGATTTCCTTGATCAGCTTCCTGCTTTCACTGCCTTCTTCATAGCACTTGCTCCATTCCATACCGAGATGGTAGAATTCATCGCGCCATGCGAGGAAGGATACTGTCTCAACAATTGTCGGCTGCACAATCTCTTTGCCAGGGAAGACGCCCCAAGTGACAGCATTGGGCCCTCCATCGGTGGGAGCATTGGTCTTGAGCTCGCCATTGCAGTTCACTGCGTAGTACGTGATGTCTGGGTCCTGCTCCATGCGCCGGATTACCGTGCCAATGAGGTCTGGTGAGACCAAAACCTCAAGGTACTGCTTTTGATAGACGTAGCCATTTCTCGGACCCCAGCCGTAGACTGGATGAGAGGACTTGACGCCATCTACAGCAGGTTGCGAGTTAATGGTCAAGAGTCCGCGGCTATTGAGGGCGACCAAGTCATTGACCAGAGTGTTGGCCTCTTCGTTGATTGGCGCTTCTGACCAAGGCAAGCTTTCGACTTTACCACGCATGTAACCAACGAACAAATTCACAATGTCCTTGATGGTCTTCGGCTCACCCCAGATCTTGCGATTGTTCTCATTGGTGCCCTTCAAGCCGATGCCGTACTCGTCGAGGCCACCGAAAGCAGGCGATCTGCTATCACCCCAACGTCCGTTCGGAAATTCATCCCAGTCCTGAGTACGTGCAACATACGCCCGGTTTCTATTTCTCCAGAAAATGGGTCGGACGTTCTCGTCTCGTCTGTTGAGTCCCAACGATTGACGCCATGGCAGAGGCTTGATGTCTGGATGCGGACTTTCGGCAGGAGGTGTCAGATCAAGTTTCTCCAGCACCATTCTGACTGCAGCTGCCAGGTTCATGGTATAGAAGTGCAAGTGCATGATGCCAGAGTCCATGAGTCTCCGGCAGAACTCTACAATGAGGTCACAGCCGGCGTCACGAACCGCGCTGTCGTCGTTCTTAATCGGTTCAAGCACCTCAAGCCATTGAGGAGGAATGCGGGCTTTGCTCCAGTTTGCTCGCCTCAAAAATGCTGCATATGTCGAGATTGGCATGATTCCTGGAATGATGGGTACGGATTCCGGGATGCCCGCAGCGCGCACCTTCTTGACCCAGTCGATAAAAATGTCGGCATCGTAGCACATTTGAGTGACAATGAATGTTCCACCAGCATCCACTTTCTCCTTCAAGTATTTGATGTGCTCGTCCGCGCTCGTGGTGTCATCCACGCCTTCCGGATATCCTGCTACGCCAATGTCGAAATGGCCGCCGTACGTCTTCTTGATGTACTTGATCAAATCCAAAGCATATCGGAAATTGCCATCCTTGGCCTCCCACTTTTCTTGCTCTCTAGGCGGATCACCTCTGAGGGCCAGAATGTTCGTACATCCCGCCTTGTATGCTTCTTGCAATGCGTTGTCAATCTTACTCCTCTCCATGTCCGTGCATGTGAGATGCATGCATGTCTCCAGTCCGTAGGCTGATTGCGCCACTTTCACCATCTCGCAAGTCAGCGAAGAGTGACGTCCTCCAGCGCCCCAGGTGATATCAATGAAAGCCGGTCCCAGCGCGTGCATCATATCCATACGGTCGTACAGATTCTGCACACCTTGGGCAGTCTTCGGCGGGAAATATTCGAAGGAGCATGTGTGCTGGCCCTTGGCATGGGCAGCCGCCAGCTTCTCTGAGATATGCATGGCGCTTCGTTCTCCAACGAGTTCGGGTGAGGGGGGGCTGGGCGCGGATGGAGTATCTGGAGTGCAGCCTAGCAATCAAGCGAGGGTGGCTGTAGAAGAAGCAGTGTCAGTTGAGGCCTCCAAAAAGTCCCTCAAGTGCTCAGAATGGTATAGCGGCAGATGTGCATACACCCTCGTCTACCAAGTATGTGATTTTGGTAGACAGGTATGGGACGAACATACCGCGTGGCCTATGGGGATGTTCGTGCAGAGAAGCAGAGTCAATGCCACTACGATTGTTCGGATTCTTTCTTTCAGCACAGAACAAGACGGAGCGAGTGCTTCTCTGAGTGCGACTTGTATTCGACCAATTCCTGTCCGTTGTACAATGACATTACGCAGGACTACTGGGTCAAGCTTTGCAGTACGAGGCAGATGGTGGGAAAATTCATGTTGTTGCAGTGGGAATGGGGGAATGAACAATTGAAGAAAAGAGGGAACTTTGATGAGCTCTTCGTCTGCGGTGAGTCTGCGCCCGCTTGATCCTTGCTCGACATCCCCACCACGTCCGAACCTTATTTTACCCTGATTATTTTTGAACATCCATCCTCGTCGTCATTGACATCTTCGGCCTGGTCCTGCTCCTCAACATTGGCCATTCGCTGCTCATCATTATTGACACATTCTAGATGCCGCGTTTCGCCTCGGACTATCTCGAAGACCGGAAGCAAGGGATGGCACGCGCGTGTAGAATTGATACTCTTTCAGCTGACAACTAGAATCGTTGAACTCATCAAGGAGATGTCTTTCGTCAACGGGCTCTAGCCTACTCGAAATATGCTATCTATCAGCACGCGATTGCGGTGCTCCAAAGCCCAAATGATGGTCGTCGATTTGGACCAGATTCGGCTGGTACTAGTCTTCATTCCGGTATACAGCATCATAGCGAGGCCGCGGCCGTAAATTCATACCGCTAAATACCACCAAGCGTGCGCATGCACTACAAATCGTTCATGCTACAATCTAAGCAGCAGCACAATGGCCCCCATCAACCCTCAAATCCGCCCCGGTCATCCAAGCACTACCCGGCGCCAAAAGGAAGATCGCAGGCGCCTTGAAATCCTCAGGAGCACCCAATCTTCCCAGCAAAGCACCCGCCATCCACGTCTTCTCAATCCCCGGTTCCTGCTTCAGCAACGCATCCGTCATCGCAGTTCGGATATACCCCGGAGAAAGCGTATTAATCCGAATCCCATGCTGTCCGATTTCCTGCGCCATAGATCTACACAATTGGTGAACGGCGGCTTTGCTCGTGTTGTAAGCGGTGCAATACAGACTCCTATTCGCGACTTGTCCGGACATGGATGCGATGAGGACGATCGAGCCTTTGATATGATTCTGAACAAAAAGTTTGGCCGCGTGTTTTGCTGTCAGGAATGTTCCGGTGACGTTGACGTTTAACATGCGGTTGAAGTCTTCGACCGGGTATTCGAGGACTGGGGTCTTTTGTTGGATGCCGGCGCACGCGATGATGCCGGAGAAGGGTGCGTTGCGAGACGCGGCTGAGTTTGAGATTTCTTCGAGAGTGCTCTGGACTTGGCTTTCTTGGGTGATGTCGCATATGCCGTAGGTTGCTGTGAGGCCGGACTTCTTGGCCATGGACTGTAATTGCGACCATTCCTGGGCTGCAGGCTCTGGGAGGACGTCCAAGCATGCGACATTCCCGCCAGCTTCGACGACTGCGGTTGCGAGAGTAATTCCAAGCCCTCGGCCACCACCTGTCACCACGATAGTCTGCCCGGCTAATGAGAAGAGGTTCGGTGAAGGGGCGTTGGCTTGTGTGATGTTTGATTCTGGTTGATGTGCTACTGTTGCAAGGTCGCTAACGATAGCTGCTGGAGCCATTCTGATGCTGGAAGAAGTTTTTAGTGTTGGCGATAGATTCTGCTTTGGATGAAGAAAGAAGAGAGAAGTTTGAAGAGCTTGGCAAGATGGACGTATCTGTAATCTTTCGACCAGCGTACCTGGACCTTTCGTGACCTACACCAAGTTAGTGGGTCAGTCTGGAAGCGCAATTCTTTCTTTGCCGCGAACCGCCGTGGGTGATGAAAAGTTGTCGTGGCAGAATTGAAAATTGAAAACAAGGCCGTGGGAGTTGTTTCACCAGGTCTCGGCCGAAAGGGGCAAGCCGGAACGCAACGCAGCCTGTCAGCGCTTGCAATTTCCCTCTGCGCTGACTTGGCAGTCAGCAACGTCCCACTTGGCCGACGCGATGTTGTTGCCAGCTTCCACTCGAGCTTTTCCACCTGACGAGTAATAATTGCGTTGTACATTCTTCCTTGTACATGGCCAGACACGAGTCTGATGTGATAGAGTTCTGTGACCTAACGAAGCTCCAGTCGGAGCCACCATGTGACGTATATTAAGAGTGCTGCTCAATCCCTGCTACACACCCCATTGCAGCATCACCTCCTCACCTCTGTTATTGCTTCTTCCAACTTCATATTTCTTCGGCGCGATTGGATATTTCGGGACAGACCACCTGCTACGATTAAGGAAACCTAGAATTTACAGCATACAGCATGGCCCCAGGCGCGGTGTCGACGCAGGATGTCGACCACCTGCCCATCGATCTGAATGGCAAGAAATCAAACGGCGCCAGCAATGGCCATGTCGCGAACGTTGACGACATTCAGCTGGAGGAGAAGAGCAAAACAGATCACGTTTTGAACACATTCAGATGTTTAATCGCAGATCTGTGCCATCAGTTCGGATGTGGGCATCCAGGGTATGGACGTTGACCGTCAAGATATTATATTGGCAAAGCTGACATCGTCCAAGATCCGCTATGGGAATGGCAGCAATTGGAGTCGCTCTTTGGAAATACGTGATGAAGATCTCTCCATCCAATCCCGACTACTTCAACCGAGATCGATTCGTACTGAGCAATGGCCACGCATGTCTGTGGCAATACTGTTTCCTCCACTTGGTCGGTTTCGAGCGGATGACCTGGGAGCAGCTCCTCACATATCACTCCGTGAGATTTGACTCGATAACACCCGGCCACCCCGAGATCGAAATCGACGGTGTCGAGGTTACCACTGGTCCACTTGGACAAGGTATTGCCAATGCCGTTGGTCTGGCGATGGCTACCAAGCATCTCGGTGCTCAGTACAACAGGCCGGGCTATGAGTTGGTCAACAACATGACTTGGTGCACAATCGGAGATGCATGCTTGCAGGAGGGTGTTGGTATGGAATCAATCCAGCTTGCGGGTCACTGGAGGCTCAACAACCTTTGCGTAATCTTTGATCGCAACGAGGTGACCTGTGACGGCACTGTCGACATTGCCACATCTGACGACCACAACATGAAGTTCCGTGCTTGCGGCTGGAATGTCCTTGAAGTGGAAGACGGTAACAACGACGTCGAGGGCCTCGTCAAGGCCATGATCCAGGCGCGTGCCTCCAAGGACAAGCCAACTGTAATCAATGTCCGCACCACTATCGGCCACGGGTCTGAAAAGGCCGGTCAAGCATCCACTCACGGTGCCGATCTGGGCGAAAAAGACGTCGCCTACGTGAAGAAGTTCTTCGGCATGGACCCAGAGAAGACCTTCCAGATCGACGACGATGTCTACTCATACTTCCGCGAGGTTAAGTCACGAGGCAAAGATCTCGAGAAGCAATGGAATGAACTCCGCCAGGGCTACACCAAGGAGTACCCCGAGCTGGCTGCCGAATTCGACAAGCGCGTCAAGGGCGAGATGATTGAAGACTGGACCAAACTCATCCCCAAACCCGAAGACTTCCCCACAGAAGACACTCCCACCCGAAAGACTGCCGGCCAGGTCATGACGGCTCTGGCATCCAAAATCAACACCTTCATGGTCGGCACCGCCGATCTCACGCCCTCCGTCAACCTCTCGTGGAAAGACAAAGTCGACTTCCAAAACCCAGACCTCCGCACCGTCTCCGGACCCAACGGCACATACGAAGGTCGCTACATCCACTGGGGCATCCGCGAACAAGCCATGACCGCCTGCTCCAACGGTCTCGCCGCCTTCAACCGCGGCACCATCATCCCCGTCACCTCCTCCTTCTTCATGTTCTACATCTACTGCGCCAACGGCGTGCGCATGGGCGCGCTCCAAAACCTGCAAGCAATCCACATCGCCACCCACGACTCCATCGGCACCGGCGAAGACGGTCCCACCCACCAACCCATCGAACTCGCCGCCCTCTACCGCGCAATGCCCAACTTCCTCTACATCCGTCCCGCAGACGGCGAAGAAGCGGCAGGCGCCATGATCGCCGCCCTCAACGCCCCCTCCACCCCGACCATGATCTCCGTCTCCCGGCAAAAAGTGCCCCAATACCCCGCCCACTCCTCCCGCTCCGGCGTCCAGAAAGGCGCCTACGTCTTCCTCGAAGAACCCGACGCCGCCGTCACCCTCATCGGCATCGGCGCCGAACTCCAATTCGCCGTGCAAACCCACGAAATCCTGCTCCAAACCCACGGCATAAAATCCCGAATCCTCTCCTTCCCCTGCCAACGCCTCTTCGAACAACAGTCCACAGCATACAAACGTCAAGTCCTAGGGACGGCCCCGAGGTTCGTGATCGAAGCTTACGCGCAGAATGGGTGGGAAGGGTATGGAGATGCGGGGTACCATATGCATACGTTTGGCCAATCCTTGACGGGGAACGTGGTGTATGAGAGGTTTAATTTTCATGGGGAGAAGATTGCGGGCAAAGTGAAAGAGTTTTTGGCGGATGTGGAGAGGGAGGGGTGGCAGGGGATTCGGGGGTTGTATAGGGATTATAATGATTATGAGGAGGGGGTGCAGTTTGCTGCTTATCATAAGAAGAAGAAGTAGGGAGGTGAGTAGTAAGTAGGTATTGCAAGGGAAGCGTTTGACAAAATGTTCATGATCTTATAATACTTCATCCTCCCATTTCAATACCTACTATACCCTCCGGTTTTTCAATTCCTCCCTCCCTCCCTCCCCAACCCCCAACCCCCAACATCACCAATAGCAACATTGATTTATATTCCTCGAAAAAAAAAACTTCCAAAAAATCCCTCGGACTCACTAAATAAACCTCTCAAGCCTATTTTCGCGTAGACGAAGTGGGTGCTCCAGTTTCCTTCTTGAGGACACGTGAAGTGGTCCTCGCATGTCTACAATGCGAACTGCTTATACTGTCTCATGCATGCTATTATAATTTCCATCTCCATCTAACATCAAGCACCTTTGATCTGCCTGAATCGATGATACGTCTCTGGAGTGCGCAAGTCCGTGACCCAAAACCAAATGTCAAAGCCGTAAGTGTAAGTCAATCATTACATCCGATTTCATGGCGATGGGAAAAGAAAAGCCATGATTGCCAGGGTTGTGGTGTGCAGTACATTCTCATCTCGCCGCTTTCGCAGCACTCGATCTCTTTGCCTCGCGGCCAAGGGTATATATGTACAACGAACGTCGTGAAATAATCCCACCGTCTTCCTTTTTCATCATCGGAACGCCCTGTGTCTAGTGCCGCTCGCTAAAACGCGCCAATGGGGAAAAGCAAACCACTCATTCATTTCATCATCTATGCGGCATCAGCGCTTGCAGGAGGCTGGATCACCTTGGTCACCTGCGCGCCAGCACGCACGATGCGGTTGCCCTGCTCGTCTTTGTAGATCATAGAGCCCTTGGCCTCGTTCTGGGAACGCTTCCAGATCTCGACTTCCATGCCACCACGAATCACACCGACTCTCATCGTTGAGAGCAAGTTGTGGGCTGCATTGCTGTGCATGTAGACACCGCCATTGAACATGGCGGTTGCGTCCTTTCCGAGACCGCTGCGGATCATGGCCTTTCCACCAGGGTGGTCGTTGATGAAGTCGGTCACATCATGGACAACACCGGCGACAGCGACGAGAGCACGGCCGTTCTTGGACTGGTCGACGTAATCGTCCCACTCCATGACTGGAAGCTGCTCAAGTGGAACACCCCAATCAAGTTTGGCGCGCTTCTGGTCAAGCTTCTTCTGCTGCTGCTGGAGACGGCCCTTCTCGATCTCGTTGGCACGGAACTGCTTGAGGTCGTAGGCGAGGCCGAGCTGCTTCATTGTCCAGATGAACCACTTGGTTGGGTCATACTGGTGCCACTCGATGGCATTGCGGTAGTCGGATGGGAACTCGTGGTGGAAGTTGTGGTATCCCTCGCCGAGCGTAACAAGTGCAGTGATGACGTGATCGCGAGGAGAGTTGCGGTCGTCGAAGGGCTGGTCGCCGAGCCAGTGGGCAAGCGAATTAACGCAGAAGGTGGCCTGCTGGACAAAGAAAATGCGGAGGATACCAGCGTAGATGAGGCCACCCATCCAGTCGTTCCAGAGCAGACCGGCGAAGACGCAGGGGAAGATCAGACCCATGAAGAGGACGACCTTGAGGTAGTTCTTGTGCTGCCACACGACAACGGGGTCATCGTTGAGATCAGAAATATCGGTACGGCCAATTCTCTTTGGATTTTGCTTCATGAGCATCCATCCAAAATGCGAGTAGAGGAGACCCTTGCGGACGCTGTATGGGTCCTTGTCGGTGTCGGTATATCTGTGGTGAGCACGGTGGTCTCTGGCCCACCATCTGACGGAGCCTTCAACAGCACCACCACCGACAGCCGCGAGGAAGATCTTGAGTGGGAGTGAGGCAGAGTATGAGGTGTGGGCCCATAGTCGGTGGTAGCCTGCTGTGATTCCGAGACCAGTGGCGAAGTAGTAGAGGACAGCGAAAAGGGCAGTCTGCCATCGAAGAGGAGTCCAGAAGGCTGTGATGCAGCCAATGATCGGAATGCCAACGATCAACGTGACATTGAGCCAGTTGACATGCTTGTACCAATTCTTCCTAGTCATAGGGGTCTCTGTGATGTGTGGCTTCTTTGGATCGTAAGACTTGTTGCGGACTGGCTCTTTTGGATCTGGGGCAGACATTGGATTGCCCTCTCGCTCCTTCGAAACGAACTTGTGGTCGACCGCCATATTCTCACTAGCGGTGGGCTGGTGGGATGGCATGATGGGCGGTATTGAGCCTGGGTGATGTAGGCTACTTGAAGATACGGTCGGAGTGTGGTGATGTCGTCGTCGATGTACTGCTCGAGACGAGCGGGAGTAGGTGCGTGCTCGTAGGGGGCGTAGCGAAAGTCGGAGAGAGGTGGTGAGGTAGAGCAGTGACAAAGGCAGAGAAGGTGAGGGCCAGGGCAGGATAGGGCAGGGCAGGTTCCTTATATTCAGAGTGCTGAGGGCAGCGGCAAACAAGGGAGGGAAAGTGGGGACGCTACTCAACGACGTGCGAAATGGTCGTTTTGCTGAGATGTACGCGATTTTCTTCCGGCCGGGGACAAACACACACCTGCAAGGCTGCACCTGCCAGCTTCACTTGCCATTCGCTTTTCTACGTCACATCTCCACGTCCATTGACTGTCCTTGTTCACTGACATTCTCCTTCACTCCCATTGCTATCGCATCCTCCTCTCGTGCGCGTCTCTGGCATACCGCCTCGGTGTCTTTCTCCAGGATCGTTGGCAACATGCAGTGCATGTACGTATCCCAGAAAGTTTGTTGGGCCATACCGATCTCAAAGGGTCTCAGCCAGCCAGCGCCGAGAAGCTTTCGAAGAACTTCGGGAACGAGAACGACCCGGCCACGCGGAGAAGCCTTGCTGCGTGCGACGCTTGGCTTGGCATTTTCGAACGTCGAACTTTTTCGAACCTTCACAACACCACGAGAAAGCTCACAGATGCATGGTGACTATTACAGATCATGTGTGTGCCTGTCCTCTCCTCCTCATTGTTGCGTGCAAATGGCCATGAGAAGCACCGCATAATAATTCTGCAACTCAATTCCGACAAGTGTGAAGCTCGCCAACCATGCCCAAATGAGCACTAGCGCACGGGTATCGTTATCGTTTTCAGCGTGCGACCAGAGCCCTGGTGCCTGTCGTGCCCCGGCATTGGCATTGGCGTTGCAGGGCTTGCTAGAACGAGAAAAAAATAAGCACGCAAGCACCATCAGAAGACATATCGCTCCACTCGTCCTCGTCGTCGTCTTCGTGCAGAATCAGTTTGTCTTGTTTGTTATAGGAATTTAGTGCGGCAGGGTTGGTGTCGATCGAGTGGGTTTTGGTAGGTCGTACGGATATACTCGGTCGTAATTTAGTCGATTATCGGATCGAGATAAGATGGCCTTAGTTGTTATAGGTTTTTAGCGTACCATTCCTTTGGGTTTCTACGGGACTGTCTCACTATTCCAGCTAAGGAATGTCCCGATTTTTAGGCGTAAGATAGGACCTACTAAACTTACGGAAATGCTCGGTTTTCGTATATTAGCTCGGCTTGCCTAATTAGGCTATTATAGCTTCTAAGGTATTATCGCTATCGCTGCTATTGCCTATCTAATTCTTCCTCTTATTCGGCCTCTTAATAGTAGGTAGCATTATCGCTACTAATCTCTTACGCTTATTACTATTATATTTATTAGAAGTCCGCCTCTTACCTACTACTTCTCGTATCGCGTTATCGTTATCTAACTAAGGGAAGTCTTCTACTACTTCTAGGTCTTATTTTAATAGCAAAGCCTCTCTTACTAGCGCCGCTAGTAAAGTAAGGTCTATAAGCTTAGCTGTTTCTTTAATAGTATTTAAATCGAGCGGCTAAGCCGACTATATAGATAAAAGCGACTCGCGCGGCTACCGTAGTAGCGGTAGCGGTAGCGGTAGCCGCGCCTTCGAAGATAAGAGCCTAAAGGGTAGTAGACTTAGCGTAAGAAGGTCGATAACTTATAATAGTCGACGTATCGGTAATAAGAGGGTCTTATTAAGTAGCGGAAGATTAAACGCTCGAGGTCTATATTTAGTCGCTAGCGCTAGCGCTAGCGCTAGCAGTAGCAGTAGCAGTAGCGGAAGGGCTAGATAGCGAGGTTAAGTTAGAGTTATAGGCTTAGCTAGAAGTACAGAAGTCTACTACTATTGTCGCTTACTAGTAAAGGCAACCGCTAGTTGCCCTTCCTATATAAAGTCGTCTAGTAAGTATATAGAGAGCGAATATATAGTGTCTTTAACCTTCCGTAAGAAGGCTCTTATATAGTTGTCTTTAAGCGTACTATTATAGATCGTCTTATCGTTACGGACTGTATAGAAGTGCTATAAGAGGCCTTTAATACCTTCGTTAAAATAAGCGTATAGGTTACGAAGATAGGGGTTACTAGTAACGAAGGGCTTCTTATCCTTATAACCTTCGATAAATAGGGTAGTACTGTCTCTCTACCGCTAATAATCGGCTATTTTCTACGAGTTATAGCCGCTATAGAAGCTAATATAGAGTTGTTATTGTTATAGGCTTAGAAGTATTATAAACAGGTAATGCCGTAGTATATAGTAGCAAGGTAGGTGCTACTAAAACTATAGTAGGCAATTATAGTAAGGAGGTTAGTGTCTATCGCGGTATAGTATAAGGCCCTCGTATATAGGCCTTACCTTAGCTTCTAACTCTTCTATAATATTTAATTGCTTCCGTACGAAGTCCTATACCGCCGGAGGTTATAAACTCTCGAAATAGGGTATATTCTTAACCTTCTAGAATTAAGTGCGTTTACTAAGCCTATATAGCTAAAGATTAGCCTTATATAGTTACCGAGCGTCTATCTTTAGCAACTCGATAATAGTACTATATATCGAGTACTAAACGAGGTTCTTCTTATTATCGTACTTAATAGTATTATAGTACCCCTCTAGCGGCGATATAGTACGAATTTGTATAAGAATTAGGTTGTTCAAACGAGCCTAAGTTGCCTATAAATATAACTTCTTAGTACTCTAGTTCTTTAGTAAATACTAGACTTCCGTCTCGTTAGCGCCCTTTAGCCGAAGCTTAGTAGCTATTATAGTAATATTAAGAGCTAATTCTTGCTTGCTACGGGCATAGTATATAGCGTATCTAAATAGCCTATAAACCTCCGGAAATCGACGTTTAGGGAAATAGCGAAGGAAGGTCTCTTTAGCGTATCGCTAATATAGATATATAGTAATCTCTTCGTCTTAGTTTTAGAAGGAGAGGCGGATTGAGCGCTATTCTTACGTAGAGTCGTTAGTTATAGCTAGCTTAGGCTTCTATTTTAGATACTACTACTTTAGGACTCGGAAAGCTTCTTACTATAGCTTCGAGCGCTATATTTGTAGCAATATATACGCTATCGGCATCTAACTTTTAAATTCGTTTCTAATATATATAGTAAACAAGTTCTACTACGTATTAGTTGTCTTATACGTTACGTCGTAGAGAAATATTTAGTTAAAGATTAGTCGATTGCTTCTCGAAGCCTACTTATAGCTTATTACGTAAGCACTTATATCTCTACTAATTCTACTATTTAATAGCTCTCGTTACTAACTCGCCTACTAAACAATCCCCTTCTAAAGCCTTCCTTTAATAATATACGATACTGCTTTATAAGATAGGTAAGCGCTATTTACTAGATTAGTTAATAGCGCTAGGTGCTTATATAGGTTATCTATTTATAACGAGACGTTGCCCTTCTTAGCGAGGGTAGCCTTCTTCTTATTCTTCTTCTTTAACTAATTAATTATACCTTCCTTTATACGATAAGCACTAATAATAGTAAGACGATAAGTATTAGGTCCTTCTTTTACTATATAGAATACCTTAGCTATATCCTGCTTATACTATTCTATTAGGTACTCTAGTACGATCTTTAGACTATTACTCGCTCCTCGTATATCCTATAACCGTTAGCTTATCGTATCGACTCGAGATATAACCCTACTAAACTTACTATATAATCTATCGAGTAGCAATAAAGCCCTTCTTCTATAGAGGGATTAGGTAACGACGTAGCGACTTTATATCTATATAGTCGAGGATCGTTCTTATAGCGATATATAGCAATTACTATATAGGAGGTATTATATAGCGCCTTATAATACTCGACCTTTTGTAACCCTTTAGGTACCTCGCGCTGCCGCTAAGCGTTACGACGATAACGATAATAGTATATTGTCCGCTACGCGAGTCTATTAACGTAGCGCTTCTATATAAAAGTATACTAGAAGTTAGAGGCAAATAGCTATACCTTATCGTACGTTTCTAGGTCTAAGAATAGCCCTTCTTTAGGTAGATTAAAGAGCTAAGAGCGATAGGCAAAATCGAAGAAGTCGGGGATTAAATAAGCTATTATAGTAATAGTTAGAAGAGCGTAGAAATAATAGTTAGAAGAGCGTAGAAATTAGCCTACCTACTTGCCTTTAAACAATACCTTATATATACCTATATAGCTAAATTTTCATCGATATACTACGATATAAAGTGGCCGACTAAGTAATCGACGGCATGCCCGATTTAGCTAGTAAAAGTAGCTATATCTCGATCCGATAATCGACTAAATTACGACCGAGTATATCCGTACGACCTACTAAAACCTACTCGATCGACACTAACCCTACCGCACTAAATTCCTATAACAAATAAGACAAACTATCGAGATATAGCTACTTTTACTAGCTAAATCGGGCATGCCGTCGATTACTTAGTCGGCTACTTTATATCGTAGTATATCGATAAAAATTCAGCTATATAGGCATATATAAGGTATTGTTTAAAGGCAAGTAGGTAGGCTAATTTCTACGCTCTTCTAACTATTATTTCTACGCTCTTCTAACTATTACTATAATAGCTTATTTAATCCCCGACTTCTTCGATTTTGCCTATCGCTCTTAGCTCTTGAATTTACCTAAAGAAGGGCTATTCTTAGACCTAGAAACGTACGACAAGGTATAGCTATTTGCCTCTAACTTCTAGTATACTTTTATATAGAAGCGCTACGTTAATAGACTCGCGTAGCGGACAATATACTATTATCGTTATCGTCGTAACGCTTAGCGGTAGCGCGAGGTACCTAAAGGGTTACGAAAGGTCGAGTATTATAAGGCGCCGTATAATGCCTCCTATATAGTAATTGCTATATATCGCTATAAGAACGATCCTCGACTATATAGGTATAAAGTCGCTATATCGTTACCTAATCCCTCTATAGAAGAAGGGCTTTATTACTACTCGATAGATTATATAGTAAGTTTAGTAGGGTTATATCTCGAGTCGATGCGATAAGCTAACGGTTATAGGATATATAAGGAGCGAGTAACGGTCTAAAGATCGTACTA